CACACACACACAATTGCTAACTGATTGGCTCTGTAACTTTTAAAAAAACTGAACACCAGATTAGGGCACTTAACCCTGGTCCACTTAGACTTTAGCTCAAGGATGAATAATTTTTGTGACATTAATGCCTAATCTGTTTTTTTCCCCAGTGGACAAACATCATGTTTAAAGTGTCTTAAGTTTCCAGATTTACTTGGTATTTCCACCAGACATTAGTTGCTCATCGTGACCTGATTGATGTTATTTCATTTTATCCCAATGTGAAGAAAATATCAGTCTTCATGCATCGTTTCATGGAAATTTAATAGTAAAAGCCCTATTTCCCTGGTGATTTCAAAGTGGGTTGGATAGCTATTAAAAGTAGCTGGAAGTCTTAAGTAGTGCTTTATTTTAAGCATAGGAACCTTTCTCATACATTAATGAACTCACTTATGATTTCCAGATGTCTTTAGTTTTTTTAATTTAATGATAGTATATTTGCTAAATAAATTTCCAGTTACTCCCAAAGAAAATATTTTTATAGATCTGTACAGCTTGAGAAACATATTTGTGAGTAAACCCTTTAATAAACACTTTTGTTTATAACTTTCTGAGAGAGGGAAGTATAGCAATGGTCGAGTTTACAAGATGCTGAAAAAGAGCGAGTTAAAAAAAAGAATAAATTTCAATGTGATAGAATTAATTCATTGTAGCTTTTTAAAAACATAATATCCCTTTAATATCAATCTTTTGGGAAAGAATTTCCTGTCCCTCCAATGCCCTAGTCTGGTGTCGGTGCCACCCATGAGCAAAACCAAATGTAGCTGAATATTTAATACTCAGAGTAGATGAACAGTAGGAAAACAAGTGTCAGGGGCATATTGGTAAGATATAAATTATGCACCACTGACTTGCCAGCTCTTGACTTTTTACTTAAAAAAAAAAAAAGTAGTGCTCCCCGGGTAATTTTGGCTCCTGTTCAGAGTCCGTATTCCTTACTGCAAGTCCAGCTGAGACGCCAAACCCCAGTGCTGTGTGAATTTGCGCAACAATGCCTTCCTACCCGGTGCTCCTCCATAAATAGTCTGGCCTCCCCATGCTCAGCCAGCAAACAGCCAAAGGAAATCTGGGCCCGTGCAGCTCCCTCCGCTTAATTGATCGGAGCAGGGAGGGCCGGCAGGGGAGTCACACAGCCTCTGTTCCCGGCTTTGCAGGACTGTTTACCTAAGGGGCATCGAAGTCCGTATGTCAGAGACACCATGTTGCTCCTACAGCCTTAGCAACGGCAGTCACCGGGTTGCATTGTCGTTGTTGACAGTCTGGAGAGCCATGCTCCTTTAAGAACACTCAACTCCGTTCCCTCGCTCCTGGCCCCAATCAGTCAGCATCAAGACTGTCAGCTGCCTGCAGTGATCAGGAAGAACAGCCCGAGGAAAGTTACAGGCGCACAGATGGGCAGTTGTTTTTTGCGTGCAAGTGGTCAGCGAGTGTTTGGGGGGCATCGAGCCATGATTCTGATTTCTGTGCTGGGTGCAGTAGCGGCGGTGGCTTGGGAGGTTTCATCCAGAAGGAGTGGAATTGCTGCCGATGTTTTTGGGATTTGGTGAGCAGTAGACATTGGAGGACATTGTGCTGTTATTGCAGGGGCCCACAATGAAGATTCAGGAACCTCCCAGCATATCTGACACCAAGCAGCTGAGGAATCAGGATGCCGATGACCAGCAGGAGAGCTTTGTCTCCGAAGTGCCCCAGCTGAATCTGACCGCATTGTGTGAAGAAAAGAGCTGGGAAGGTAGGGTCCCCCGACACTTGGTGAATTGAATATCAGAATAGCGTCTAGAAATAAGCATCCAGGAGCAGCATACAGCAGTGTGAGTGTGTGGGTATGAGACAGCTATGCATGCAGAAGTCACTGCATTTCTAAAGGACCAACAATCCTTTACCTGGCATAGGAATGTCTCAGGTTGAATGTTGCTGAGGGTAGTTACCATCTTAGAAAGAAAATGTGCTTGTTCTTTATCACAGTGTCGCCTTGCAGTCCTTTTTTTTTTTTTTTTTTTTTAACTCACCAGGAGTGCTGATAAGTACATGTCTCTTCCCCCTAGTAGTAACAAGCAGAGTAACAGGGAACCCGTATGCTTTCAGGATTGCTTTTCTCAGTACACCTGATCTTCCCATTGCTACATGCCAGCCACCTGTCTCCTTCATGCAATCTCTTTCCCATGTTTCAAGAAAGATGTCTCGGTTTGCTTTGTTTCTATGTTTGTTTTTACAGATGTTTTAAAAATCCCAGTTAGCAAATTGAAGGAATTTCCTTATCAAAGAGAACACTGAGTAAAAGTGCTTCTTACCAAAAGCTTGTAATACTGTATTTTAAACTGATTTTTTTCTAGAGACTTTTGATGAAAATGTTAGAAATTTACCTGTGAGGAAGAAGAGGGTAGCCTTTGTCAAAACTATATTTCAGGAAGATATTGCAGCAGCTTTATCGTGCTGCACATTCTTGCAATATCCATGTATCTGCATCTAAACACGTATCACTGTATATCCAAAATCAGTGCCCATCTGCCTCTCTACAGTTTGTGTTTGAAGGCTACGAGGAGAGAAAATTGTGCTCCTGATTTCAGTACATCAGTAGGACTTAACACAATGACTTCGCAGAGGGTCACAGCTCTGAAAAATCAGTCCTTTTCAGCACCTAGATTTCCTTATCTTCTATTCCTACTTCCCCTCCCCTATTTTTTTTTAACCAAGAAGTTATGGTAATGGTCTTAGATCAAGGATCAAGAAGTGGTCTGAAAAAACCACAGGATGAAAAAAAGTAACCCCATTATGTCCCTGGCATCCAGGGCTTCAGTGAAAACAAACAGATGCACTGTTTTTTTTTTATCTACTTCTCCCTCCTTGCAATCTAAGAAACCCGTTCTAGTTCTTTTTATATAATTAGGCAGTGAATCTGAGATTTTTTTTCAGATATTTTCAACTCTCAATACATTCACTGAGCAGAAAAAAAAATGCAGGGTTGCTTAATTTTTAATTTAAGTGATTTGTTCCTGGGTACTATTTTGTTCTTCTGTTTTTGTGTACTTTGAAATAATCACGTGTTAGTTTTTAGTTCATACATGAAAATAACAACTTACCATCCCCAATAAAAACCCCATAGTAAGGTCACTGTTACCCAAATAAAGGAAAAAAAACAGTAATCAAAATAAATGCTATATTTAAGTCTTAGTGGTATAGTCTGTCATAAAAGTCTAAATAAAACTAAGATTTTTGGTCTGAATTCAAATTAGCCACATTATTTTCTTCCTCTTCCTCCACCTAAAATGGACTCAGTTTGATTATTTTTACCTTGGTTAGTCAAGATAAGATTAAATGTATAATCTTTCCCACCGTACTTAAATAGGCTAATACAGAGCTGAAAATTCTCTCCAGAGTGGTTGCAAGTCAATTTGTAGTTCCTTAAAACTATTTTATTAACATAGAGAATTTTCTTTCAGATAAATAATAATAATATGAAGGAGCCAACGTTTTATTTTGGAAAGCTAGAAGGATTTCTTTAAAAGGTTATTGGAAAAAACATATTGCTTTTCAGTATGCTTTGGAATGTGAATTGTGCTGTCCAAGTAATTTATGAAATAACTTAATTTCACTTTTTTTGGTAGTTATTGAATTTGTCATTGAGCTTACATATCTTAAAATCTACATGTATTCATTTCAATGTCATTTTAGTCAGTCAGTTCCTGCTTTCAATACCTTTTTAAGACATTATATAATTATTTTAACTTTCCAAGTTACAGTTCCACTATAGCAGTAATATAGTTATAAGTGAAATAAAGGAATTTTTGCTTAAAGGGTAGATGGAATGAGAGCAGTATCTTTGATCACTAAAGTGTCACCTTTTTTATAGCTTCAGTAAGCAACAAACAAAATGGTGGCTTTCCAGTCAGGAATAAACTTGGCACTAATTTAAATTGTGAATGTGAAACCAGTGCAACAAAATAAGTAAATGAAAGTAATAAATATGAAAAACCATATGAACCAGTGTCCACCTGTAGGCCCTCATCACCAGTCTTCAAGCTACCATGTGGTGCAACCCCGTCGTGTTTGTCTGGTGACTCCTCTCCTGTCCCCACACCATACTTCAAGTTCTCACACTGACGTGGAATCATCGACACCAGGTGAAGCAGTATTTTCTGTGGAGCCTGGCACCGCTAGGCTGTCCACTAAGTACTGCCTCACAGTGGGGAAGTGATGTTCCCTGGGATCTGAGCTTAGTAGCAAGGAACAAAGAGGAGAATACAACTAATCAATAGAGTCCATAGCCAAAGTAGGATGGAACCCTCCCAAAGTAAGTGTAGTCTCAGAGTCTACTCATGCTTGTTGGCAAACTATGCTTCATCCTTTTTTTCTATATGTAGCTATGTTTTAGGGCACATTATTATCTATCCACATGACCCTGTTGTTATTATTAGTGTTTCCAGTCTCCAAAGTTAAATGAATACACAAATCAAATGTGCTGCTTTTTGTTATGTAAAGCCCTTCAAAGCTGCGTGATTGGAATGTTTCTTTGAGTTATATGTTGATTTCAGGGTACCACTTGCATAAGTACTAGAGTTTAAGCACTCAGTTATTCGATTTGTCCTGATGGAATTAACTTTAAAAGGGCACTTTAAGTCAGGCATGGCCGCATGCACCTGTAGTCCCAGCTACTCTGGAGCCTTAGCCCAGTTCAAGAGCACCCTGGCCAAAATAGCAATATCCTGTTTCCAAAAGGGGAGGAGGGACATTTTCTAAGGGGCATAAGATACTTTATATATCCAACTCATCATTTACTGCTTCTTGAAAATAAAGTTGGAAAGGAAGTTCTCTCATAGAGAGAAGCAAGAGATCTTAAAAGATCTTCCAGGTGAACCCTTCTATCATACAGAGAGGAAAGTTGGGGTCGAAGAGGCAGAAAAATGGTTCAGAGTAACAAATTCTCCTGACTTCTACCTCATGCATCTTTCTAAACAATACCAGCTATGTATCATGGCAGGCAGTAGACCAGAGTGGTTAAGAGCCAGATTCCCTGGGTTCAAATCCTGGCTCTGCTGTTTAACCAATTTTGTGGGCAAGTTAGTAAACCTGTTTCGGTTTTGGCCTTAATTTCCCCATCGTTAAACAGGTATAGTAACAGTAGGTAATAATAAATAATAGATATAGTAATATCTACTTAGTATGTTTGTTGCAAGGATTAAACAAGCTAAAACATGCGAAGTGCTCAGCAGAGTGTGTACACATAGTGGACACTATGTGAATGTCAGTTGTTATCATCTTCCATAAATGTTTCCAAGTATAGTTTTAGGAAAAATCAGCCTAAGTTAACCTTTGAAACCAGAACCCAGTTCTACCTAGCGACCATGGGTGGCCTGGACCACAGAAGAGGAATCATTAATTACTAGGTCCTCTACAGATTTACTAAGGCCTAAGCATGTCACACCAACCTCTTTTTCTCTGATGATGCTACAAGATTCTAGATTAGGGAAATGGTGCATTTGAAAAGGCTGCAGCTGGGCCTTTGATGGGACCTTGATGAGAGTATTGTCAGAAATGTGGACGGGATAGAAGACAGGTAGGGTGGTGAATTAGTAACTGATTAAGCAACTGCACTTCAATGTGCAGATAAATGGCTAAAGTCAACACAAGTAGGAATTTATCATTAGGTAAAATCTGTAGCCCTGTCTTGTTGCACACATTTATTAATTATTTAAATGGCGCTATTAAGGGCCTGCTTATTAGCTTTACAAACAGGGGCAAGGCATATATATATATATATATAAATCAAGGTCTAAATTCGTGATTGATAAAGCTGACTGCTAAAGTTCTTTCTAACTCTGACAGTTTACAAGACTACTTACCAGTTTAATAGGAATACTATTGTTCTAAGGTTAAATTTTGGAACACCAAAGAAAATTTTGTAAAAGGATTTCCCCAGCAAAGAGCCTCCCCAGCAGGGCTTATATCTTTCTGAGTCTGGGATGTTCAAGTACCTCCTCGCTCAGCTGAGCAGAAGGATGGTTACATCAAGCCAAGGAGTAATGGCTCTAAATAACATAGTTGGAAATGAAATGCGGAAAACATCAACTCTCTTAATCCTGTGCAGATTTCTTAGGAATAAATCATCTCAATAGCCAATTTTCTTTTGTGTAGTAAGTGAATCCAGCTAGCTAAGCAGAGGGTAGCTGTGTCCCAGTGACCACATTAGCATTACTCAGAGATATGTTCCCTCTACAGCCAATGTCCTTTATTTTCATGTGTGCTATAGTTTCTGAATTAGAACTCCCCCAGGACCGATTCTTTTTTATTACTCAGGTAGCAAGCATACAACTTTTATCTCTATTATTTCGGACTTGCTATGATGTCAGCTGACCTGGTGGATTAATTTTTAATAGAGAGACATGTCGACTTATGTCCAGAGTTCATCGTGACAAGACACATGACTCAAAGCAAAATCACTCTACCAAGGAATGTGAGTCTAGATATGAATAGGCATTTATTTTATGGGGTGGTTAGTATAACAATCCAATGTAAAACCTCACACCTTTTGCTTTTCCCTTTGAATAATTTTCTTGCAATAACCCTTGTTGCAATTTCCTTGCTTTGGAATTGATGGTTAAAATATAAACTATTTCCCAAACTAGCAATTGTAACTGGTCAGTGAATACATCCTCATAACTGGCTCTCTAGGGAAGCAACTCAATTGGACATGCTGTGTACCACATTGTTCTTAATTATTTCTTGTTTTTCTAGTTGCGTGTCAACTATCAAAGCCTGAGATAGCCTTGTATTTTTAGATCATTTCAAACTAAAGTGGGGGAATCCTTGGTTTTATTGCTTCTTTTGTTATATTGTGATCTACACATTACATGTCATTTTATAACTCTTTTGAGTGGAAGCGTTAAATTATAAGACCATAGAGTAACAAGAAAGAGAGAAAGGAGAGTTACATAAGCATTTCATATTGCACAGGTGAAAATTTTTTCTGTTCTACATGCAGACTAATGGTGAAACAACTCTTTTTATGTTGTTAAAGTTGAAGTTTATAATACTTTTCATTTCTCATTTTTTAATAAATGAATTCATTTGCCCTAACTCTATACTGTTAGAGAAAATGTCGCTCATAAGCCAGAATTTCTTCAGCCGTGTATTTCCTATACACCCCTGGTGACACTAGGAAAAGGACACATTTGGTCTTCCTGTCAGGGAAGGGATCAGTCAAGAATGGAGCCACAAAATAAAGCTGTGTTAGCAAACAAGAAAGCTGGTGGCCAGCCCTGTGTCAGCCATGTGGCATCGAATGATGATTATTCAAGTTCCCCGATGAGTATTTTATTGTGAGTTCAAGATCACAATTTATCTTTTGTCAGACACTTAATTGGTTAATAAGCACAGACACACTCTGTTGGTAAAATGTTTTATACAGATACCACGTGGTTGAAAACTTAAAGAAGGGTTGTAACATTTTAAAAAGAGATATTCTGCTAGATTTGGACAAAGTAAAGAGCTTCAGGATGTGAGGTAGCACCTTTTCAAACTAGGTTTTGACGAGTAGACATGCCAGACTAAGCAGCCACCCGGATGCCAGTATCAACATCAGACTTTGTTTTGTTAAAGCCCTCTGTCCCCATAAAGCTCCTGGCCCTTCCCCCCAGGTGTTTGCTCCTTTGCCACCCTGCATGAGGTCGTTGCCTGCTGCCTTACTATGGGAGCCTTCTTAACCCTTTCCCTGTCATGGCTTGATTGAATCGAGTCTCCACAGAAAATGTCTGTGTCTAATGAAATGCCATGACAGAGAAGATGCAAAATGGTCAGTTGAAGAATTCCAGTGTCTGCAACTTACACTGTATATTTTTTCCTAGAACTTTCTTTCTCCTGCCCCTCTCTTTCCCTCAGCTTTCAACCCATTTCTGATTCTTGTATGTTGGCAGTTCTGAGCCCCACCACTTAGGGTGAGCAGACTGAGAGCGTTAGTGCAAATGAGGAAACACCTCCTGCTCTTTGCCAGCTGCAGCCAAGTACGTCTACCAGCATGTTCTCTGCCACTTTTTGGGCCTCAGTAGAGAAGAATGTCTGTAACACTGTCTTTGTTTCTCATAATTATATTTTTGCCCGTGTTCCCAGATAGCTTGATTCGCTTTAAATTTTGAGAACCTGTGGGCTTCATTCATCTGTTTTAAATTAATATGCTCATTATCCCATTACACTGAGGGGTCTTTAGAAATCTCAACCATCGTTGTTATGGAAGCACTTGGCACATTCTAAATTGAAGCACTGATCAGGAAGTCAGGAGACTTAGTTTCTATTCCCAGCTCTTGGGGTTTCAATTTCCTTATCTGTCATCTATTGGGTTGGATCAGTGGTTCTCAAATGTGAGTGTACATCTGATCACTTGGACGGCTTTTAAACATGTATGTGTGGCAGATACATCTGGGCCCTCACCAAAATATTTCGTCTACTTGGGTGATGTGAGGATCTGCGTGTTGGTAGTCATTTAAATTTCCCTGTGTGACTCTGCCGAGAAATCACGAGATGAGATGATGTAGGAAGTCACACCCAGCTGCAACATTCTACAATTATAATATGGTCTTTTTAAATACAAAACTGAATAAGCACTTATTTAAGGTAATTTTGTACACTTTATAGTATGATAGGTTGCTGTTCCATGATTCAAACTTTAGGAATTCCAAAATTGAAGATAATGGCTGAATCCCAGCTTTATGTAAAGCATATTAATCCACAAATGAATTTATAGTATGACTTTTTTTTTTTTTTGAGTTGGAGTTTCACTCTATTGCCCAGACTGGAGTGCAGTGGCCGCTCCCAGCCACCACAGCCTCGACCTGCTGGGCTCCGGCGATCCTTCTGCCTCAGCCTTCCGAGTAACCGGAATTACAGGCGCATGCCACCACGCCCGGCTCATTTTTTGATTTATTGTAGAGATGAGGTCTCACCTGCCCGGGCGGGTCTCGAACCCGCGGGCTCAGGCAATCCACTCACCTCAGCCTCCCAAAGGCGCGGGATTACAGCCTGAGCCACCAAGCCTGGTTTAGTATAACTATTTTTAATGCAAAGTATTACAAATGAAATACCCTGTATCCTCTGAGATTATCTTTAAAATATTTTGGATAGGATTTTTTAATAAATAAGCAAAGGAATATATTGAGGCGAGTCTTGCAGTAAATAGAAATAAGTTATCACCCTCATCCCTCCCAAAATGATAGAGTAGGATTTTGTGCTGAGTGTGCTTTTTTCTTACAGATTGTCTAAAATAATTGGTACAAATTTGTCCGTGTAAGGCATTCTTTTTTTCTCTTTGGACTAATTATGTTTTCAACTCACTCTAACATAGTTTTGAGCAGCTTCTGAGGTTCCAAGAGGAAAGCATGCATCTTAAATGTGCTAATCCCAACACACTAAGCAGAAGCACACAAAACAGCTTACTGGATGAGCTGAAGGAAAGTTGTGAACTCCTAATTCAAGAGGCTCTCAATCTCAACAAGAGAGTTGTGATTCTGCTGCTTGATTCCTTAGCTGTTTCAACAAAGGATGGATAGCCAGGATGCCAAATATGGTCTCCCCGACACATCTGCTGTTCTTTTCAAACATGCCCTCACGTGAAGGTTTTAATCACTAATCTGCTGGGCTCTTTCCCTTCAAGACTGGTCCTCAGAGCAGCCCTAGCAAATTCTCTTTTGAAAACCAGTGAGAATGGAGATGAAAAGTAGATGACGGCTGTCGGATATATAGGTGATTTCGGTTGGGGCATAGTGTTGCTAGTCTGAACCTTAGATCTACAACAAGAAACCCTTCAGCTTCCTGAAGCATTTAAGAAACCTGGCAGACGGTTTGCTTTAAAGAGCAGTGTTCATCTCTCACCGCCTTCTTTTCCAGAGCCCGTCCCTGCCTTCTCTTCCTGGCAGCGGGGCAGCAGCGACTCTGATGAGGCCCGCCTGTCCCCACAGGCGGGGCGCCTGATCCAGCAGCTGCTGGACGAGGACAGTGACCCCATGCTCTCACCTCGGTTCTACGCTTACGGGCAAAGCAGACAATACCTGGATGATACGGAAGTGCCTCCCTCACCCCCGAATTCCCATTCCTTCATGAGGTGTGTCTCTCTCTGTACTGCTGATAAGCAGACACATCATCCCCATGACACTAGAAAGATCGGAATAGTGCTGAGGGCTGGACATTCGTTTTTTAAGTTGTGAAGTCTGTGGAGGACCGTTGTTTAAGTTCTCCATCCTAGTACACAGGCTATGCTGTAGTTTTTCACTTAAGCTGTGGCCCAACTGTAACATCATATTGTGTTTTCTTTGAGTTTTTTGTTTTGTTTTGTTATATTTTGAGTCAGGGTCTCTGTCACGTAGACTTCAGGGCAGTGGCACACAAACACGGCTCACTGCAGCCTCGAATGCCTGGGTTCAAGCAATCCTCTCTCTTCAGGCTCCTAAATAGGTGGGACTACAGGTGCATCCCACCATGACTGGCTATTTTTTTATTTTCTAGTTTTTTGTAGAGACAAGGTCTTGCTGTGTTGCCCAGGCTGGTCTCAACCTCCTAGGCTCAAGCGATCTTCCCACCTCAGCCTCCTGAAGTGCCTAGCCCACATTGAATTTTCTTACCACCTCCTTTCTAAGGCTCTCTCAAATTTAACTTTTAGGCCCACAGAAAGACAGACACTTTACTCATTGTAAACGTGCTCTAGAAAAGGGTAGACGTATCTAACAGGTGGGACATACAGAGCTCAAAGTCATAAAATGAGTCGGTCAGTTTGCTTCTGTTCAAGAGGATGGAGGCTGCATGTTTCTCCTCCTCTAAGCCACGTGGCGTCCACATCCCCAGAGCCCCTCAGCAGGCTGCAACTGCTCCTGGGGAGGCTGAGCCAGGCTGTGCTCCTCGCAGGCGCCGAAGCTCCTCTCTGGGGTCCTATGATGATGAGCACGAGGACCTGACACCTGCCCAGCTCACACGGAGGATTCAGAGCCTTAAGAAAAAGATCCGGAAGTTCGAGGATAGATTTGAAGAAGAGAAGAAGTACCGAGTAAGTGCCCCCCACACCCTTCCCTCCGTCACCTCCTCTCCCCCACATGCCAGTGCGTCAACACTTAATGAAGGGAGAAGGCTCCGGCAGACTTCTAGGGCATCTTAAAAGGAAAAGACAAAAACTGGATAGGAAACCCTGTTCCACCCAATCACCACGTATCAGCATTTGAAGTCTAAATAAATAAAATGAAAGCTGAAGTCTTCATTTCATAAATGTATCGGTGAGCAGGAGTAGAGAAAGTTGTTGAATAAAATCTTTTGTTTGGCTAAAACTTAATTCAGTGTTAGAATCTAAAATTCCGCTAGTACCACACTCACTCTACTCAACCCCACCCTCAGCTTTTCCCATAAGGGTGGCAAAAGGGCATTTTTCATGGTGATTGCAGTATAAAACATCATATGCCCCTCTGTTTTCTACTCTGTTAGCCTTACAGGTTGGGCCCTACAAATAACAGTAAAGATGTCACGGACCTCACGACGGTCCCTGTCATAAAGATCCAGCGTTTTGCCTCTAGGGAATTCCCGGAAAGCATCAAAAATACCCAGATGTAAAGAAGGATAATGGGATCACAACCTGACATTTGCTCTGATTAATTATGGCCTCTTTCTTATTCTGATGGAGCTCAACTTTTCCTTCCGATTTAAAACAAAAATGATCATCAAACACTTTTCACTGCCCCAGTTCCAAAACATTTACTTTAGACTTCTTTTTCTCAGCCTTCCCACAGTGACAAAGTAGCCAATGCAGAGGTTCTGAAATGGACAAATGACCTTGCCAAGTTCCGGAAACAACTTAAAGGTACGTGAAGGTCTCAATCCATGACTTGGCTTCTACACAGCAAGCCAAGTTCAGAGTCCATCGCCGCCCGCCATGACTGAGTGCCACTGCTAAGATATTCCAGGTTCCCCCGGTCCTCCCACAGTCTCAATCATAGAGCAACCAGCTGAGATGCAAATCCTGTAGCATTTTTTCATTTCCCTAAATCATTACTAGAAGGGTGATGGTTTCCAGCCAGCATTTCCTTCGCACCTGTTTCACCCAGGGCTCCATTTGCTGTGGTATTAGGAGCAAATATATAGACATACAGATGAATCTGAAAACAGTTTGGCCCCTGTCCCTCAAAGAGCTTGCTGTCTTTTCAGAGATAGAGTCATGTAGACAACTCAATAGAATACAAAGTGAAAATAATTTTTAAATGAAGTACATACATCATACAAAAAAAGCTGACCAGTGCCTGGGCGTTAGATGAGGAAAGACTTAAACACTTGGGGAACGAGTGTGGGAAGACATCTGCCACATTGTAAGAACAGCACACAGGCTGGTGTGGCTAAAGCATGGGTGTGAAATAGCTAAAGCTTCCTCGGGAATTAGGGTTAGGGAAACATTCCAGATAATCCAGGAAGATGTTATCATTATCTCAGGTTTCATATAACTCGGAAATTTCTACTGATCTTGTTATTAGATATTCTCTAACAACAAAACAGAACTAAAGTTATTGACACCACAGAGAAACAGTATGTGTTCAGCAGACATCAATTCTCATATGTCTCCACCCCCAAATCTTCTCAACTAGAGTCAAAACTCAAGATCTCTGAGGAGGACCTAACTCCCCGGATGCGGCAGCGAAGCAACACACTCCCTAAGAGTTTCGGTTCTCAGCTTGAGAAAGAAGATGAGAAGAAGCAGGAGCTGGTGGATAAAGCAATGAAGCCCAGCGTGGAGGCCACCCTGGAATCCATCCAGAGGAAGCTCCAGGAGAAGCGAGCAGAAACCAGCCGCCCCGAGGACATTAAGGTGTGATGATTCTGTGAAGTCCCCAAGCTAAGAGCTGAGCCCGAGTGCTGCAGTCAGTGTGGCGGAAACATGGACATACCACATGCATCCCAGTGGGAAGGTGATCCCTTTCAAACCTCCCACATGCTTACGTGTCTAGAGATGAAACAACTGCAGAATGTGTCAGCCATGGGCACTCTGATTTTTGATTGCAGATTAGACACAGAAAACTCTATCATGTATATTGCAGAATGAACTTGTTTAGGTTAATAACTGGTTTGGTGACTGTGATAGAGGAACTATAGACAAGACTTTGAGACGGTGTAACATGTCATGCGGTCATTGCTTGGGCCATTAAGCTAAGCCCCATGTGCCTCACAGCTCCGTCTACCTCAGTATTTGCTGCCACATGGGAAAGCGAAGAAGCTGATGACAATTCTGCTGTGTGACCCGTATTTCTATCAAGAGTTCAGGAGAAGCTTGTTCCTGAGTGAACTTTGGAACGGAGGATTCTTTTTAGCCTTGCTGTAGTAGATGTGTTTAAAGATATTGGAATGTTCACAAATGTTTTCCCTCTCTTTTGTTTCTCTGTCCCTGTGTTTATGCAGGATATGACCAAAGACCAGATTGCTAATGAGAAAGTGGCACTGCAGAAAGCTCTGTTATATTATGAAAGCATCCATGGACGGCCGGTATGTGATGGAGCGCTTTTTCTGATTGGGGTCAATTATCTGGCTTCAGAAATGGACTTTCTATGTCCAGTGTCTTGCAAATGGGGTTCCCTAATGTTTGCTTTCTTTGCTTTTAGAATAAAGGTGGTGAGTCTATTACACTATTAACTAAGCCTTCTGAAGCCTTAGCTGACAAGAGAGTTCTGCTGTCTAGCAGATGCTGAACTTAATTGAATCCCAACAAAAAATTAGTTTGCAACTAAAATTTTGTCATTCGTGTACTGCTTTGATGGGGAGAAGCAGGGGAGGACAGAGCGTAGGGTGCACAGGGTGTAGTTCTGGAGTGAGATGTCCCTGCCCCCTTGACCTGTCACTAGCTCTAGACTTTCTCATCCTTAAAACAAAGGTGTTCAACTAGAATGATCTGCCCTAAAATTCAGTGCAGTTGTAACGAGTGTTTGTCAAGTTCCAGCTGCCATTCGGAACTAAGAGTGTGAGGTATCCAAAATATGGCCTTGCCTTTTCATAACCACAAGAAGCACTGGAGGTGTTTGTTATGCAGCAGGCATTTACTGAATCTTTGTTCTTAGCTGTGGGGGAGGCGTAGCATGATAGACTTCTGTCCTCTTCCTTGAGAAACTTGTAATCAGGCATCCTTCTTGTCAGTTACTCTTAATAACCTTTTGTTCAGAATGTTATCAAGAACCCAGCAAAACAAATACTTAAAAGCAGGTACAAGGAAGCATGGCATTTAGGTTTACAGATGATTTTATATAGTCAAGAAGCAGAGATCTCTTTTTCAGCCTAAGCCATGACTATATAACGTATAGTGTCTTTTCATCTAAAATATGCTCTATTAAATAAAGAAGCTTCTAGAATAATTCACTAGACTCTAAGGTATGTGAGGGCAAGGGTGCTGGACTTTGTTTATCTAGTGGTGAAGCTAATTCTGGGCATCTAGCACAAGACCTGACACAGCACACTACCTGCAGAATGCATTCTCTCTGGCATTTTGGTTCCGAATTTATCATGTTTAACTGGGGGGAAAAAATGCTGGTGCTGATGATGATTGATTTTGCTGGCCCATCCCTGCAGTGGAAAAATACCACCGCTCCGGGATAATGTTCATGTTTCAGCCAAGTTTTGTTTTGGATTTTTAAAGGCGTTGAACCAAATAGTAATTGCTCTAGAGCTCAGATATATTGTGAAACTGTGTCCTCTATGGGAGTATTCAGAACTTAAGAGGGAGAGCTGAGCTTCTTTTAAACGAGTGAACCCCTTTTCCACAATCGGCTCAAAACCCTTAAGTATAAATCTCCGTGTGGCCATCAGGCAGACCTTGGTTATGGAGGTGGAAGTTGTGTGTTTTCCTTATTTAGTATTTCTTCTTTTCATTATATGGGTTTGGGTTGTGACATTGATAAACTCCTTTAAAGGACTTCCTCATCCGAGGCCCCCAAGAGCTCACTGCTGCATTCTGGATGGACTTAACCTTGCTGCTAGTTGAGCGGTTTATGTAGCCGTGGTATTTGTTGCTCTCAGCTGGGAACAGATTCTCTCATCAGCCTGGACTGGGGTAACGTGCAGACACTGTGCGTCTTAGAGTGGGCAGACCTAGGTCCAGAACCCAGCCCTACTGAGACAAGCTCTGTGACATCAGGCTACTGGGGGAATGAATCTCAGAGCTGTGGTGTTTTGTCTATATGATAGATGTCTGTTACAGATTGTCAAGGACAGTAAACAACATGACAGGCACACACACAGACAAGCATCCATATATACTTAGCTGTGGATGTCTGGCACTGAGGAAAGGGACAGGGCAGCTTTCAGGGTTGCACAGTAAATGATAGTTTTCGCTCCTGTTTCAGTGATATGTTCTACTTTTGATTGAATGGTTAAATCAGGGGAAAGAATGCACATTTTATCCCTCTTATTAAGAGTCTGAAATATTAGTTCCTGGCCCTAACTTGCTATTCCTTTTCTTTCATCATTCTGTCAGGTGGGGCTGGATTCTAGCATCTCAAAGGCCAGGGAACAGATGCTCTGGGAAATTTGAGTACTTCTTTTTCTGGTCCCAGGCCAGACCCTCTGCCCCTCTCTCTGGAACATGTGATCCAGCCTCTTCAGAAAAAGCAGAGTTCATCTGATATCTGGCCAGTTTGAAAATCAGAGAGTAAACTTAATTCTAGATTGGTGATGTTACCATGGACCCTGGACAGTAAATACCATTTGGACAGTACTCTTCTTCGAAGAAATGTACGTGTACTTCCAGAGCTACACGATTGTTTTAAATCCCAATTTATCAGAAAAGCAGATGTTCAGAACCCATGGGTTTTTGCTGAATCTACAGATACTGACACTAACTACCAAAATCTCAGGCCAAAACCGTCACCTGCTACTTCCCTACACTTTTTTAGCCAAAGCTTTTGCTTCAACGGGGCATTCTATAGACTGACATATGTATGGAAACAGAAGCACTTATTTATGTAATTCCCCGGTACTTATTAAAGCGTGTCCTTTTCAACATTTAAAGATCTCATCAAAAGACCATGTCAGAGAAGAACAAGAAATAATTGCACTCACTGTTCTACCTTCCATAGGTCCTACTGTGTTGTGTTTTGCCTTTTTCTGAGTTGGGATCTCTCTAGCACCCAGGCTGTAGTGCAGTGGAACAATCACGGCTCACCTCAGCCTCTACCTCCTGGGCTCAGGTGATCCCTCCGCCTCAACCTCCTAAGTAGCTGGGACTACAGATGTGTTCTACCATACCCAGCTAACTTTTTTATTTTTCTTTTATAGAGATGAGGTCTCAATATATTGCCCGGGCTGGTCTCAAACTCCTGAGCTCAATCCATCCTCCTGCCTTGGCCTCCCAAAGTTCTGAGATTATAGGTGTGAGCCACCACGCCTCACTGTATGTCCTACTCTTTGATAACAAGTGTGGAGGGGAGAGAAGGGGCTGCCTGATCAAAGTCTGCTGGCTCTTCTGGATTCTTTCAGATTGGTATATTTTATTTTATTTTTTATTTTTTCAGTTGGAGTCTCACTCTGTCACCCAGACTGGATTACAGTGGCTCGCTCCCAGCCACCGCAGCCCCGACCTGCTGGGCTCTGGCAGTTCTTCCAAGTAACTGGAACTACAGGCGCGCGCTACCATGCCTGTCTAATTTTTTGATTTATTGTAGAGATGAGGTCTCGCCAAGTTGCCCAGGCGAGTCTCGAACCCGCGGGCTCAGGCAATCCACTCACCTCAGCCTCCCAAAGCGCGGGATTATAGGCTGAGCCACCGAGCCTGGCTCAGATTGGTATATTTTAATCTTGTGTTTTTCAACCTTAAGGGACTGCCATGACCCTAAACATGGCCATGTTCACATTTAAATGCAAATTCTGGAGCCATGTATAAATACTCTCCTTTGGTTAGCTGCTGTTTTGGATTTTCTGATCTCTGTATAAACAGCCTACTATTATTACCAAGAATGAAGAAGAGAGAGTTGCTATTTTCCAAATTAAATTACTGAGAATGCAACAGTTATCAGAATCCATCTCATTTTGTCTTCCCCTTCTAGCAGTTTTTTCCTGTTTTTTTTTTTTTCTTTCTCTTCAGAAATATACCTCTCACACACAGATTCAAACCACTCTGTTTTGGTAAGAAGATTCTGAGCCTGCGTTGTTTCTTTTCTATCGATGACATAATTTCTCACAAGGTGTGCTTTTATGTCACTGTTCATGAACAGAGACTTTTGTAAACACAATACAGACAGAACTCTTTATATTAATGATGAATTGGTTAGAACCTATTAGGGGATAATACTTCAGTGTCACACTGTGTTAAAGACCCTACTGCACCTCATGTCTTATTTGTGAAAGAAAACTGGACTGAAGTCAGCAAGCCTGGGTTCTTGACCCAACTCTGTTGCTGTGAGCAAGTCATTACTCTCTGTGGTGCTTAGTTGTAAAGGCTATAAAAAGGCTTTTCTAGGTCTAATATTTCATGGTTCTAATTTTATCTTTATCTTCAAAGTAAATGTGTCAATCATTTTACCTTTCACCTTTGTGGTTCTAGCCAGGTAACAACAGCCAAATTGATGTTTGGAAGGAAGTTTTATCTGAGGATAAGACAAAAACCATCAGAAAAGATAAAGGCAGGCACATGCAGCTGTATAATCAGGCCTTTGAGGTTTCCATTCAAGACTTGCTGCTAATTAAATGTGGGTCATTATTGGCTAGTGCTTGCTCTTTGTGTTTTGAAATAATGTCTGAGACTTATAGAGCAACCAAATAAAGTAGTGAGAGACCAGTACCAGAGTAGAGAAAGAGTTCTTTGAATCATAAGACAAAGTGGAAATGCTTCCTTCTCCCACTAGGGCTTCAGATCTAGATATCTGTGTTGTTTTTATTTACGGGTAAAAATACATCCAAATGTAACCCTGTTTCCACACATGGGAGAACATCCAGCACTGCCACTTGCACTAAAAAAGTTTTGAAGCAAGGAGTGCTTGGCCAGAAGTCATTTCCAAGCAGCACCTGTAGGTCAGAGAGATTTTCCATCTGAACTCTGCAATTTACCAGTCAGGAAACTGAGGCTCGGAGAACTTACATGGTTCATTCAAAGTTCCATTCAGAGGACTCCAAAATAAGATGTCAACTTCCAAACAGTTTTCCTGGGGTCCATTTAATATCATCTGACCCTTTTGTGACAGTTCAGTCAAGATCCTGCCTTGTTCGTTAGACTATTGGTTAGATTTTTGCTCTACTCACAAACCCAGTACTGACCATTGTTATGATGGGTGAAAACTGTATTAATGTTCAGTATCACCAAGACTTTGGCTTCAGATATATCATGAAAATAATTCTGATGTACAGGGGGGGACCCCTAAGAAACAGAACTTATTTATTTTAAAAATTGTGTATTTATTCTTCCATGTTTAAACTTCAGTCACCTTCAAAGTACTCTCTGTTTGATGCAATACACCTATCGAGATGCTTTTTCCACTGCTCAAAAGTTTTTGAACTTGTCAATTTCGATGCCTGTTAATGCTTCTGCCATTTTTTGTTTCGCCTTTTCCACATGGGCAAAATGTTTCCCTTTGAGGACTTTTTTCACCAAGGGAAACAAACAAAAAGTCACCTGGGGAGAAATCAGGTGATGAACAGAGAGGGTGAGGCACAGAGGTCATGAAGTTTTTGGTCAAAAACTGCTGAATACTCATTATAGTGTTGGCAGATGCACTTGTAAATCACCTATCATGAAATGGGCAAACATGTTGAAAGAATCTCCAAAAAAAAAGTCACTGAACCCAACACAGCCTCTCACAACACCAGCTGGAACACTGATGGCAATGGGCTCCTAGAACACTTACCTGGGAGGGAAGCCTGTACTACAAGGGGCCCGCCCTCCAAAATAAAATTTAAAAAAAGATAACTCCAGTGGGCTTTTGGGGGAGTTCCTCCCCGTAAATCAAGTAGTATTAATTCTCACCTTTCTATCCCCTCTTTAATATTTTTGGTGTTTAGATACTTTTATCAAATGCCATTGCTTAGTTTCGTGGTAAGTCCTAACTCTCCATAGTAAAACACTGGGTTTTATCAGATTCACCTGCTCGTGATTAGTTCCTGAGGGTCACTAATTTAAAACATGAGCAACTGGTAGGAAATCTGGATATCGGTGCCCTGAGCCAAAAAAGGAAGCCAGCGATCCTCTTCATCTACTCCAGCTAGTTTTCCTTGGTTTTTGAACAAGGAATGTATTTTTCTGTGTGTGTCTGACTTATTTTACTGTCAAATTTGTCATATCCAGTTGATTTTCCCGCTAAGTCTTTCTCTACAGTGCAAAGTTGTTTCTGCCAAGTAACTAGGAATTGGATGCTAGTCTACAACAGGGAAACACTGGCACCTTACTGTTATTTCTTTTTTTTTTTCCTGAGTTAAAGTCTCGCTCTGTTGCCCAGGCTGGAGTGCAGTGGCACCCTCACGACCACCGCAGCCTCGACCTACTGGGCTCAGGCGATCCTTCTCCCTCAGTCTTCCAAGTAGCTGGAACTACAGTGCATACCACCATGCTCAGCCAATTTTTTTGTTGTTGTTTATTGTAGAGACGAGTTCTCACCAAGTTGTCCAGGCTGGTCTCGAGCTCCTTGGCTCAGGCAGTCCTCCAGCCTTGGCCTGACAAATTGCTGGGATTACAGACATGAGCCACTGCACCTGGGTTCCTTACTGTACTTTTTTTTTTTTTTGTATGTCTCTAACTACTCGACCATCTATTGTTTATCTTGTTCATTATAGTCCACCCCATGTCATTACTGTGCAGCATACAGTTTTGGGAACACACCTTATGTGTTCTACTGTTGATGCACATGAGGGTGGTTTCTAGCTTGAGACTATTCTAGATAGTACTGTTGTGAACATTCTTACAAATGTCTTCTGGTGAACTGAAGGCCACATTTGTTTGAGATATATATATATATATATATATGTATTGTGTATGTGTGTGTGTGTCGGAGTCTCTGTTGCTCAGGCTGGAGGGCAGTGACACACTCACGGCTACCACAGCCTCGACCTGTTGGGCTCAGCCTTCCACCTCAGTCTTCCAAGTAGCTGGAACTACAGGCAGGCACCACCATGCCCAGCTAATTTTTTAATTTATTGTAGAGATGAGGTCTTGCCAAGTTGTCTGGGCTGGTCTCGAACCCGTGGGCTCAGGCAGTCCTCTCACCTCGGCTTCTCAAAGTGCTGGGATTATAGACATGAGCCACCGTGCCCAGCCTGTTTGGTATATTCTTAAGAGTGGAATTGATGGATCATAAGTTCAGCTTTAGTAGATACTGCCAAATAGTTTTCCAGAGTGTCCCACCCTCTCCAGCAAGTGAAGGAGAGTTGCCATTGTGTGACGTTCTCACTGACACTGGACAGTAGCTTTTTATTTTAGCCATTGTGGTAGGTGTGTCATAGGGACACCTGTGGTTTAATCTCAGTCTTTTTCATATAAAATAGAATGATTTAAACTCCCTTCTAGTTTTGACAGTCATTTTTCTTATGAAACACTAGTTTTAAAACTGCTTTTAGTATGGTAGCTAGAAGCAGAAAAATGTCACTTGCCCTTTAATAATGTGATAACAGAAGAGATATAAATAAAAGGCTATTGTTGTTACTGTTATTATTACTATTGGTAATGATAGAAAATAAGCCCACAAAAAGTGTTGCATGATGGCAGTATCTTCTACTAACTTGTGAAATTTACTTAATGTTGATCACTCTGAGAAAGACAAATACGAAAGGCAACCAAGGAGACTCCATTTCTGAGTAATCCAGAGGTCTCTTTGAAGCTGAAGGCCCACAGACCCATAAGAGAATCAGGCAGAGCTCACACTGCTTGCCCTCCTTTCCCTATAAAGCTCTTGCCTTCTTGTATGTATAATGGTGACAGAATGCAGGAGACTGGAAACAAAGGTCCTCCATCTCATCCCTGCATGCACACCTGAATTGGGCATACCTGTGTGCGAAGTATCCATCCACTTATTTCACAAATATTTATGGACTATTTCCATTATGTCAGGCACTGAAATAGTTGCTAGGGAACTAGCAACTACAAAAACATAAACTGCTCTCAAGGAGCTATAGTCCAAAGGAGGAAATTTGTCAGCAAAGAGCTATGGCAGAGCATGGCGTGTTTATGAAACTAAAGGGTATACCAGGGTGGGATGGTAACACAAACCAAAGGAGGAGGAGATTTCCCAGAACAGGGACTGTTAGAAGAAGGTGCACAGGGAGTTGGCCCTTAAGCTGGACGCAGTGAGGAAGCCAGTTGGGGGGCAGAAGGAATGAGACAAGGAGGTTGAGACAACCTCATTTATTTCTGGAACTTGCAGGAGGTTGGGGAGGAAGGAAGCAGCAGGTGGGGAGGAGAAGCTTCTACGCTATTACAGGGTGGGCTGGAGTGTCTCCCCCAACCCCACTGCCTACACAGTCCCACATTTCAACATTTGAGAGCCCTAGGCCAGATTTTGGGGATATATGGATTAATCCATGTATTTTTCATCAAATGTTTCTTGAATGCTTGCTGTTTGCTAGAATCTTGTTTTTTAAAAAAACAACAGTTTCATGGGGGAGCAAGACAAGTAAATAAATGGATGGCAGATATTCATGATAAGTATTCTAATAGAAATATATGCTCACTTCTTTCCTGGACACAGAGAATAGTCATCTGGGAACTGTGAACCTTGAGGAGCTTTAAGCAGGGACCTAAGAATGATCATAGTTTTGATTTAGAAAAAAAACAGTCCTACTGATAGAGCAATTTCCACTGATCTATAGCTGCAGTGGTATGTTAAATATCTACTGAATAAATAATATTAAATAATATTATCAGTTTAAAATAAATGTTGTAGCCAGGCTCGGTGGCTCAGCCTACAATCCCAGCGCTTTGGGAGGCCGAGGTGAGTGGACTGCCTGAGCCCACAGGTTCGAGACCCGCCTGGGCAACTTGGTGAGACCTCATCTCTACAATAAATCAAAAATTAGCTGGGCATGGTAGCACGCGCCTGTAATTCCAGCTACTCGGAAGGCTGAGGCGGAAGGATCGCCGGAGCCCAGCAGGTTGAGGCTGCAGTGGCAGCCATTGCACTCCAATCTGGGCGACAGAGTGAGACTCCAACTCAAAAAATAAAAAAAATAAAAAATAAAATAAAATAAATATTGTGAGAATGGTAAGTTGCATCACCTGTATTTTCTCTAGGAAATACAGGCCCAGATCTTGCTCAGACTTCTGGTAGAGTGACCCCTAGGATAAGGCTTTCTCAGCTCTCTTGTTCTTGCTTCTCAGGTAACAAAGAACGAACGTCAGGTTATGAAGCCACTGTATGACAGGTACCGGCTGGTCAAGCAGATTCTGTCCCGAGTCAACACCATACCCATCATCGTGAGTACCACACCTTCCTGTTGTTGATACACTCCCTTTCTGTTTGAGTGGGCCCTGGAGATACTAAGAGGGTCCTAACCTGCTTTCTCATGAAAGAATAGGGTTTAATAGTTGAATTAGCCATTGCCACCCATGGCCCACAAGCTTAAGGAATGAAGACTCAATCAAAGATTTCTGAGGCAACGTTTGTCAAAAGTGAGCACATTGGAAACTGATAGAATCTTGTTCTCTTTGGGGTGACATGCTTCGCCCATGCCCCTCTATCTGATGTGCTGGGCCAGAGACAGCACTGAGGGGACAGGGCTGTGCTGTCTCCAGGCCTCCTCACTCCCAGGAGTGCCTCTCTGTTCCCAAGGTCCCCTGTTAATGGTCTCTCCCCATCCAGGAGAGGGATTACTCCCTTGGGAATCATGTCCGTGGGAGAGGGATTACTCCCTTGGGAATCATGTCCTCTAAAGAACTTGAAAGAGAAGCCCCTCTCCTTGGAAGATATGGGGAAGTATGACAATGGGGCTAATAATTGAGACGCTGTTCTCAGTGGCTACCACCTGGACTCAGCTGCTTGTGGCCCCTGGATTTTGATTTTGTCAAAAGTAGGGAGCAGCAACTTGCCTTCAGCCACGGGAAAGCCTTTGGGGCCAGTCCCTGGCCCCAACCCTTACCCCAGTCTCGGCGCCTCCACCCTGGCTTGTGAATGGGGCATTCCTGCCCTGTCCATCTCTTGGGGGAAACACTTGCCTCTGCTTAAGGGTTCTCTCTTCTGCTGGCTTTTGGTTTCTTTAATGGGCAGACACAGCTTCGCTTTGATGCTGCTGTTGAGATACATACAAGGGAAAACCCAGAAAAACCCGGAATTTATTTATAAAATATTGTGTATTTATTCTTACATGCTTAAACTTAGGTCACTTTCAGAGTCCTCTCCATTTGATGCAATACACCTGTCAAGATACCTTTTCCATTGCTCAAAACTGTTTTTAAACTCATCGATTTTGATGCCTTTTAGTGCTTCTGCCGTTTTTTGTTTCACCTCTTCCACATCAGCAAAATGTTTCCCTCTGGGGACTTTTTTTTATCCAGGGAAACAAAGAAAATCACTCAGTGTGAGATCCGGTGAATAGGCAGGGTAGGGCATGGGGATCATGCTGTTTTTGGTCAAAAACTGCTGAACACTCAGCACAGTGTGGGAAGATGTGTTTGTAAATCACCCATCATGATATAGGCAAACGCATTAAAAGAATCTCCAAAAAAAATCCACTGAGGCCGAATGCAGCCTCTCACAACAACACTAACTGGTACACTGATGCCGATGGGTTTCTAGAACACTTACCTAGAGGAGAAGCCTGTTCTACAAGGGGCCTATGCTCCAAAAGATAATTCTGGGTTTTTTGGGTCCTCCCTCATACTCATTTTAGCTGCTGTTTGTATCTGGTCTTGCCTGAAATCACCTTGCTTACTGCTAGGCCTAGGGCATGGTCTTTATATTTCTTTGAAATGAAGGGGGATGGGGGCCCAGAGACCTCAGGCAGGTGTATTTGAAGAAAGCTACTCTTCAGGAAATTTCCCACAGGACAAACTAAACTAATGAAAAGATTAAATCTAAGGAGTCGTTTTTGTGCTCCAGGCAGGAACACGATGGCCCTCAGTAGGGTGGATGGATGACAGGGAAACCCGATTACCTTTGTGCTGCTCTCTGAGCTTGCGGTATTCTCCTTAGCCTATGACAGTTCCAGTACTCCTGCGGTTCCTGTGACCCGGGAGGCAGAGGGTGGCAAGCAGGTGCCCTCCTCAGGTTACGCTGAGTGCTTGGTGAATACATCCTGTGCTGTTCTTGCTCCTCTGTGTTCTTGATTCATGAACGTGGGCTCTCGGGGAAGTGGCACCTTGGAAAAAGAACTTGTGTTGTTTCCAGCTTTTTTGGGAGCGTTTGGCAGGGAGGGATTAGAATAGATCATCCGAAGACGGTCATAATGACTGGTGAGGCCAGCGGAGGCCAAGAGCTGGAGGGAGAGGGCACGGGGTTCGGAATGTAACCTACTTGTCAACGCCTGTCGCAGGGTTCCCCCTCCAGCAAGCGGAGAAGCCCTTTGCTGCAGCCAATTATCGAGGGCGAAACTGCTTCCTTCTTCAAGGAGATAAAGGTGAAGACCCCCAGCTGCTAACCATGCTAACTCTGCATCCCTCCCCTCCCTCCTGCCCTCCCGCCCTCTCTCCTGACAATGGAAAGGGTGTGATCGGCTCTCGGTGATGGCTGCCAGCGCGGTCCCTGGGAATCAGTGGCTGCGTGTAACCAACTGTGATCAATCCCTTTGATTTATATAGAGTCTAGCTGCTTTCCTTCGATTCCTTTCATTTACCCTTCTTGTTTGTTTTTGTCATTTGTTGTCTCTTTTGTTTTTACTTTGCTTTCAGGGTTCTTATTTTGTTTGGTTTTCCACAGTGTTTTTTGTTTGGTTTGGTTTTCCCTGTTTGGGGCATAGATTTTCTATATGCCAGACTCTGAAATTAACTCATTGGACCAACTTTAAAAAAAAAATAATCTAATATGCTGAGTTTATAGAGAAACCAGAATCAACAAAAGCACACCTATAATCCCACCACTTTGGGAGCTGGAGGCAAGAGGACTGCCTGAGCCCAGGGGTTCGAGACCAGCCTGGGAGACTTGGCGAAACCTTGTCTCTACAATAATTTTTTTTTTAAATCACCTGGGTGTGGTAATGTGTGCCTGTAGTTCCAGCTACTTGGAAGGCTGAGGTGGAAGGATCACCTGAGCCCAGCAGGTTGAGGCTTCAGTGGTCATGAATGTGCCACTGCACTCCATCCTGATCAACATTGAGATTCTGACTGGGGGAGGAAAAAAAAAAGACAATTTGCAACATAACACACAATGAAAGATTATAGTTGTATAGACAAATCTCTTAGTAGTCTTCAACAGATTTGCTGGTGCAACCCGCCCTTTCTTCCTTCTGACTTCCCCAGCACATTATATCCTCAAGACCAATTTCCTAATCTGTTCTTAATCTGTGAGTATGCTGCTATGACTGGTAGGCACTAGAACATATGCCTTGACTTTTTTCCAGTAGTAATTATGGATTATGTGCAGATAATCCTTGTCATCTGTGGCTACTTTTGCTGGAATGGGAGGTGTAATCTGGGTCACTGTGTCTCTGCGGGTCCTAATTGGCCTGTCCTCAGAGAAGCCTGTTTCATGGTTTTGTTTCTAGACAACTGAACAAACTGGACTGCTTTATACAGGACTCTAGAGGTGAAACATCAAAGGCAATCATTAAAAAACAAAACAAAACTGCTTATTGCTTTTTAGCAGTTGTTTAACTCCAAAGCAGGAGTTGAACCCAAAGCAGCAGAGAGCTTGAAGAGTTTCACTTCTCATGATTCTGTGATGGTTCAAAGCCTGGGGTTGTCATTTATTGACTGTAGTTAGGAATGACTATTTCAGAATATGAGGGCCTCTTTTCTGCTGAGGGACACCAATTGAGAACCTCTCCATTCTCTTGCCTGAGGTAAGGTAGGTACCACAAGCTGTAAAGTCTTCTTTTATTGACTCACTTCCTTTTCGTACCTCTTAGGGATCTTAAATACTTCACGTGCCTAATTTAAGATATTAGGCCATAACTGTGCTCACTGTTCATATGATTTTAAATGGAATTTGTTTTATGAAAGTGCTCTAAACTTGCTATACTAGGAAATTTGGGCCAGTATGTTATATTGTATCTTTAAAAAATTAGAGCTATTTTCTTACAATAAGCCTTGATGGTAATGAAAGAAGACAAATTTTGTCTAGTGGTAATTTCACCCAAGAATTAAACCACCATAATTGAAGAAAATTGGGTAATTGTGTGTATAAAAATTAGCCTGTTTGTCTTAGCGACATGCAGAAGGGTTACTGGATAAAAATGTGTTCTCGAATCCATCCAAAATATGACACTTAATGGTTGCCTCAATGAATCGAAGATATCCTAATGACTCTCTTTTTAAAAGAGGGCATTTCCCCCTTCTTATCCTTTAGCTTAAAAACTTGTTTTTTTCACAAGTATATTTTGGCCATGGCTTATCTGCTGGTCCACATGATGGTCAGAATTTCAGATAATGTTGCAATGATTGCATTGCTTTTGTAAACAGTGCTGCTTTGGCTCATTTTGTGCCTGTTGGCCAGGCTTGTTGGCATGTATTTGGGCCATACTAATTCTTGGTGATTCTGATACAGTTTAGAATTCGGTGTGTATGAAGATAAGAAGATTGCATCTAAGTGATTTCTTAAAAATTCACCCCTGGTTTTAAATGCTTATGAGGGAACCAGATGTATAAGAAATCAAGCCAACTTGAGTTTGGCCCTAGATTTTCCAGCCCAAAGAAACCCAGAGTTCAGCCAACCAGTCCTCCATCCAACATGAAAGTCCTCTCTCAGACTTCTCTGATGGTGCAGAGGCATCGTCCCTCCTGGGAGAGTCCCTCCTCATGCTTGGAAAGTTCACAGCATGGAGAGAGTAAGGTCACTCATCTCATGACTATCAGTAACAGCTAAAAACATATATTGTTAGTTTTTTGGGTTTTTTTGAGTTGGAGTCTCACTCTGTCACCCAGACTGGAGTGCTGTGGCCACTCCTGGCCACTGCAGCCTCGACCTGCTGGGCTTTGGCGATCCTTCTGCCTCAGCCTTCCAAGTAGCTGGAACTACAGGCGTGTGCTACCATGCCCGGCTAATTTTTTATTTACTGTAGAGATGAGGTCTTGCCAAGTTTCCCAGGCGGGTCTTGAACCCACGGGCTCAGGCAATCCACTCACCTCAGCCTCCCAAAGCACTGGGATTACAGGCTGATCCACTGAGCCCAGCTTATTGTTCAGTTTTATAATTATCATCATTAATTATAAAATACAATATAACTGTATAAGATGTAATTTTAAAATACAGAAGTTAGATAAATAGAAAAATCACAATGAAAATAGTTCAAATTATGATCTTCATAGTTATTATCCATTTATTACACTCTAGCCTATAGGCTAGCTTTTGCTCTTTGATGCAGCACAGCATAAACACTCTGCTTCTTCCCAAGAACACTGATGAATTTACACCCTGGGATGTACACCCGAGAGCACTGATGCATTTACACCTCCATTCCCTGAAAAGATCCTTTGTCTAAGCTCTTCTAACTGTTTCTTATGTGATATGGATTCAGACCTTCCAGCAGCCCCTAGCTCTAGTGTATACACACCTATCCCGCCACGTTGTTCTTCAGAATGATACCCAGAACTGGACATGATTCTACATACAGTTGAACTAGGGCAGTGGACCCTAGACCTTCACTTGGTCTGGACAGCTGAGGCCCTTTCAATCTCCAGTGCTTTGCTTGTGCACCGTCCATGCATTGGGAATTCATCCTGGTCTTTCCTTGGGTAGGGCGTCCTCATCTCATGGTGGACAGTGGGGCTGGACAGCTGCTGGGGGTGCTTTCCTGTGCTTTGTGGGATGTTTACTGGCATCCCTGGCCTCTACTCACTGGATACCAGTGGTGTGTCGCCCCCACCTCCTGCCTAGTTATGACAGCTGAAACCGTTTCCAGACACAGCCTGGTGTCCCCTGGGGATAGACTTACCCCAGCTGGAACCACTGCTCATGCCTGTTCTCTGCTAACTCACACTTTGCCAACTCAGGTACTTGTGCAATGCCACCCATGTGTCCAGCTTTGCTTTTTCCTGACCTAATTAGGGGACCTTGAATTTCTCCAGTGTTTTACTATTTCAGCCTTTTGAAACAGACTATATCTAGATTTCATGTTCCAGCATACCAGATATCCCTACTCGCTTAGTATTATCTATACATTTTGAGAGTATGCCTTTTATGTCTTTGTCTAAGTGTCTCAAATATGAGTAAAGCAGGGCTAGGCCTGCTGTGGCCTTCCCTTCAGGGTCACATCACCACTGGGTCATCACTGCAGAGACATGGGAGGCAAGCTTTCCTCTAGTAGAGCTGCTCACGCCCAATTCTTTACTGAAAGCCAGATACTACATCAGTCCTATCCAAAAAAAGGAAAAATGATTTGTTTTCATGATTTGGTTTTAGGGAGCTAATACTAGTCAGCTGATCACTGATTCTCAATTGCTTGTACGTTGTCTCTGTATTAATTCCTTCTAGAATCTACCCAGCATTCATAGCATTTATGATCTTACTTGAAGATTTATTTTACTATTTCTCTTTTTTCCCATGATTTTCAGAGGTTACTGAGAGTAGTTTTACATTTATCTGAAACAGTACTGAATATGCATTATGTACAAGGCACGTTTTCACATTTGTATGTTCTCTGAGGACTTTGGGATATAATTGATAAAGCCCAGACACCTGATTTCTTTAAAGGCAGTTAAGTTTTTATTTGTAACTCCATTTGTTACCTGTCTAAGGTGTTAATGCTCTTTTAATAGTAGTTATTTGTAGTTGTCTTTGACAACTGAATTTCTAGACTGCTTAGCAGACATTTATTGAACACCTCCTGTATGTAGTCATTGGCCAATCTCTGGGGACAGCAGTGAACAGACAAGCCCAAATTTCTGCCTCCAATTTATGGTCAGGTGATTCTACCCTGTCTTCCTCATCGGGGAAGCAGAATGAGGAGAAGGAACAGAAAACTGATTTGCACAACCAGTGTGCCAGATCTGCCTTATGAGATACCTGACATACAGCATCTCAATTTTACAAAAATGATATAGGTAAGAGTTGTTACTTACTCTTATAAAAAAAGAGAAACTTTAAAATTGCTCTTTTGAAAATCAGTTTTACTCTGTAAATTTTTAGTGTTTTTAATAATGTAAAATGAAAACTTAATTACTGAGGCATTTACTTGTACGGACCAAGCAGAGATTGAAAATCTGAAGTCAACAGCTGAGACAATCCAAGAAGGGTCACCTCTTGCCAGTGTTATCTTCATGCTTCCTAACAGTATTTCTGTTTTACTTATGCAATAGTCCTTTTTTGTTTTGCTTTGTTGGCTTGCTTGTTTATTCAGATTATTTCTCCTCAGAGGCGCCATCATAACACTCCCACATTCGTGGGGAGGAAGTCCACCAAGCACAGTTTACACACTTGCATTTGACCTCCAGTGGCACCTCCTGCCTCCTGGGACTTAACTGCTGCAGTGGCATCGAAGCCCTTGGGTCTAACTGCGATCCTTAATGTTAAACTTACTGTTGTTCATGCAACTGTATTCCTACCAACTTTAAGATTTGTGAAGATGTTCTCTCAGGTCTGACTACATTTGGGGAGTAAATTACTTCTCTTGACATTTTTCAGATTCTTATTTCTTCCTTAGGCTTTACATAATTTTTAATTGGCATGAAGCAACACTGACTTGACTTCAGTGTTTTTCTATTTGCATCATCATCAACAGTCAGAGAATAGCTTACTTGAAATCTTGGATGCTGAAAAATTCAGTCATGGCCCTTGAAATTTCCTTGAAAAACTTAAGAGTTGTATGATTTCAATCATGAGAATAAAAATGTTATGCATTTCTCAGCCGGGCTTGGTGGCTCAGCCTGTAATCCCACACTTTGGGAGGTCGAGGTGAGTGGATTGCCTGAGCCCACGGGTTCGAGACCTGTCTGGGCAACTTGGCGAGACCTCATCTCTACAATAAATCAAAAATTAGCCGGGCGTGGTAGCGTGTACCTATAGTTCCAGCTACTTGGAAGGCTGAGGCGGAAGGATCACCGGAGCACAGTAGGTCGAGGTGACACAGTCTGGGTGACAGAGTGAGACTCCAGCTCAAAAAAAAAAAAAAAATGTTATGCATTTCTCAAAAATTTTCTAAAATTCTGTGCATTAATCAACCTCAAAATATTTTCCAATCTCAACTCATAAATAGAAAGATTGCATTGTTCAATTTCAGAAAATGTTCAGAACCTAATAAATATCTTCTCATACATAAGTAGTAGACGCCTTCAGAGCACTGATTCCTGGTGATGGACTGTTTTTTGAACTGTCACAGAGCTGGAGCATGTTAGATTCTGTTGATTCATTGGATTTAGGCTATAAATTATGATGGTTCTTCCTGCCCTCAACTTTGACAACTGCATCATGCTATAGAATTCATTTAAAAAATAGCTTTATAGCCTATTTTCTCCACTGAGTGACTGTGTTTAGTGTTTGTGCTATTAAATGTGTTTATATAGAAGATGTTCAACAATATATCCATAATGTACATGTGTTGCTAAAAGTAGGTCCAGAAGAAACTCCATGGTATCTGGATAATTAAGTGATTATTGGATGATGCCTATAAGGAAAGAGTGCCCCCAAAAGTGACCAAGTTTTTCTTGGGGTTACTGTGTATCTCCAGGAAGAAGAGGAGGGGTCAGAAGATGATAGCAGCACAAAGCCAGACTTCACGGTCACTCTGAAGACGGATTTCAGTGCACGTTGCTTCCTGGACCAGTTTGAAGACGACACTGATGGATTTATTTCCCCCATGGATGAGAAAATGCCATCCAGGTGCAGCCAGGACACGGGGCTCTCAAATCTCCATGCAGCTTCCATGTATGTCGCCTTGGCACGGTGCTGTTGAAATATTTCGATGAAAATAACTTTCTTAAATATGATTCCAGCCTTTGTATTTAAATAACTTGGCTGACAAAGCAGAAGTGACTACCTGCAGTGACTATTTTGCAAGAAATCTGCCTCAGTATTCTTGATCTGCTTCATCCGTGGTATCTGAGGAGACTTCTGAGTCTTTCTTAAACAACCAGAGGCCTCTCTATAAATGGCAGCGTGTGTTCTGGCCACTGAGCACAGATGTCGTTTCTTTTTTTTTTTCCCCCAAAGAAAAGCATGACAAAGGGCCATGGGTTTTCACAGCCCTAAGACTCACTAGGTGGTCTATGCCAGTGTCCCCGTGTGTCCAGGAGACAGAAGCATCCATCTCTGCCCCTGGGTATCCTCAGCAGCTTTTGTGCTTACTTACTCCCCCTTTCTCCCCAGTGCCTGTCTAGCTGCACATCCATTACATTTATAACAATGCAGATTTCACTTAATTGACTTGAAATTCTTCCTCCCTCTTAGACCTGAGCTCTTGGAACACCTTCAGGAAATGAGAGAAGAAAAGAAAAGGATTCGAAAGAAACTCCGTGACTTTGAAGACAACTTTTTCAGACAGCATGGAAGGTAGTGTCTGTTTCCCCCTCCTTCCACCTCCCCACATGCCCCCTCGTTTTCTGTCACTTCTGTGGGGTGCCTTCAAAGGGGAACTCTTCTACATCCCCCCTAGACCCTGGTCCTTAGGCTTGCGAACAGAGACCCTTAGAGGTTGTCTGAGAGGAGGAGATCTGTGTGGCCCTCCATGAAGAAATGCTTCTTGGATGACGTCCAAGCCTGATGCAGATTCAGCTAACACTTATAAAATGAACCTGTCACATCAGATTCTCATCCACAATGAGCAGCCTCAAGCTGAATTTCCAGTTGATGGCACTAGGGTTTTTTCCTTAAAAACAAGCGGTTATCTGGGCATGGTGGCGCAAGCCTGTAGTCCCCAGCTACTCAGGAGGCTGAGGCAGGAAGATTGCTTGAAGCCAGGCGTTTAAGACTGCAGTGAGCTATGATTGAGCCACTGTACTCCAGCCTAGGTGACAGAGCAATACTCTGTCTCTAACAACAATTAAAAAACTAGGGGCAGAAGGAAGGAAAAGGAGACTCAAAATCTTACTGATTTTTTTTAAAGCTCATTTCAAAAACAAAGGTGATAGTTGCCAAATTTGGATGGAAAAGTATACATGAGAAGCAGTGAGTCTACCTGGATGAAAGGCTGCCTTTCCCCAGTGGGTTTTAAGGCATAATTTAATCATCCTCAGATAACGTGATGCCAAGAACTAGTCTTTAATGTTTGCCAGTGACTGCACCCAGAGCCTCTTACTCAAAGTCACAGTATGAACCCAAGGTAGAGCCAGGAATAGATCTGCATCTCTTACATTGGAGTTAGGTTTTACCATTTTAAATTGGTTTTATTTTAATACAGTTTGCTGAAACTATGTAAATACAGTATCTCTTGAATTCTCAAAAGTTTGGGGAAATAAAATCCCCATACAAATTAACGTTGGCATTTTAAATGTGTCATATTTCAACTTAGTTCAATTACTATAACAATTTACTTCTAGGATGTCTGATTTGGATGTGTCTTATAAAGGACTTTGTCAAGATTTGTGCATTTTGATACTCAAATATTGGCTTTTTATTCCCTATAGTTTTCAGGAGACTTGGAAAATATAGATGAGCAAATAAAATAAATAATTTCCAAAATAATAATAACCCCCAAAGGCAAATCAGGATTCATGGGTTTTTTTGTTTTTTGGTTTTTGGTTTTTTTTTTTTGAGTTGGAGTCTCACTCTATTGCCCAGACTGGAGTGCAGTAGCTGCTCCCGGCCACCGCAGCCTCGACCTGCTGGGCTCCGGTGATCCTTCCGCTTCAGCCTTCCAAGTAGCTGGAACTACAGGCATGCACTACCACACCCGGCTAGTTTTTGATTTATTGTAGAGATGAGGTCTCGCCAAGTTGCCCAGGTGGGTCTTGAACCCGTGGGCTCAGGCAGTTCACTCACCTCAGCCTCCCAAGGTGCAGGATTATAGGCTGAGCCACCGAGCCCAGCTTAGATTCGTGTTCTGATGTTTTTCCTTCTAATTCTTTTTCTTTTTCTTTTTCTTTTTTTTTGAGTTGGAGTCTCACAGTGTCGCCCAGGCTGGAGTGTGCAGTGGCACGCTCACTTCCATCACAGCCTTGACCTGCTGGGCTCAGGCGATCCTTCCACCTCAGCCTTCCAAGTAGCTGGAACTACAGGCATGTGCCGCCACACCCACCCAATTTTTTTTTTTAATTGTAAAGGTGAGGTTTCACCAAGCTGCCCAGGCTGGTCTCGAACCCCTGGGCTCAGGCAGTCTTCTTGCCTCGGCCTCCCAAAGTGCTGGGATTATAGGCTTGAGCCACCACGCCTGGCTGGCTCCAGTTATTTTTCTAAGCATATTTTTGGTTTGTTCATTTATCCTTTTTTTATATTATTAGTCACTTTATGCACAGATATCCTATATGTGAGGAGCTATGTAAAATTATGTAACCCAACAAGTCTTAAGGGAGTATAAATGGTAGAAATTAACTTAATCATTGTCATAAGGTGTAGAACTGTGAGGGCCTTATGATGGTATAAGATCTGATTCCACCAGCAGCTCCAAGAGTCCTTAGCACCCAGAGCAGATGTCCCAGGTACTGGACGCCTGGCCTCATCCTGCCCCCTGCTGAGAAGCTACTAGAACCTTCTCCTAGAGCAAGGCAGGGCATGGATGAAATCAGTTTATATTTTGTCCATGGAACTGATTAAGCCCCACACTATCCCCTTGCCCACACTGGCCTTTTAATAATAACAAAGGAAGCCTGTGTTGGAACGTTTGCCACATGCAGTTTCCCAGTGAAACTTGGAGCAGCCCTGCCCTGCACAGTGGCTGAGAGCAGCGGCGGGGACCCTCATTGCCTGCCCTGGGTCCATCGTACGTAGGATGCAGAAAACAGCCCCATTTATCGAGATGTTGTGAGGATCCCATGAAATATGCCCCATGGTGCTTAGCACAAGGTTTGGCCCATCATAAGCTCTCAAGTACTCGTGCCTGTAAATATGGTGCTTATAAAATGACTCAGCAAACTCTAAAGGCTTATTATATTACACAATCCAGCTACTAAACTCGAAGACTAATTTTATAATAAGTAGGAGTATTAACTTTTTGAAAACCCTGGAACCTGTGGGTGTACCAATTGCTAATTAGAAATTTAATGGCTCGTTAGAGGAAATATGTAAGAATGAGAAAACATTAAGTAAGAATAAAGGATTTCAGTGTATGGGAACTTTTAGCGTGAATGAATACTTAGCAGAGAGGAAATTTCTGCATTTCTTAGCCTTTATATCATTCACAAGTTGCCAGATTAACTATATAAAACCTCAGCTGAGAGTGCCTTCTGGGGGAATTTCATTCCGTATCGAAATCCAGCTCATCCTGTGACCAAGTGCCCCTCAGCAACACTGATTCTACAAGCTGATGAACCACCAATTTCCACATGATGATGATGTGCCTGATAGACGGCTTTGTCCTGGAGAGACAGAAAATGAGTCAGCCCTCTTTTTCTTTATTTCATCAGAAACGTCCAGAAGGAAGACCGCGCTCCCATGGCCGATGAGTACAGCGAGTACAAGCACATAAAGGCCAAACTGAGGCTCTTGGAGGTGCTTATCAGCAAGAGGGACACTGATTCCAAGTCCATGTGAAGGGCTGGGACTGGGCGGATGCGGGAAGTCACTGCCTCCCAGATAAAGAGCAGCTCTGAAGGTAGTGTGGGTGCTGTCTCTGGAAGCACACAGCCCTTTTGCCCTGGGCCAGTGGGTCGGGCTCCTGTTGCTGTGGCCTGCCTTAGACACTGGCTGCTTGGAGGAAAACAGTGTGACCTGACTTGGGAATCTTGTCATTGGAAGGTCAAGATTCCTGTGCGTGCCTGTGTGAAAACACACACAGACACACACCGACACCCCCCCGCCCCGCTCAGTGGGGCATTACTGACACTAGCAGAAATGAATCACTGCATTAGACACACTCATCGACCAAGTAGACACTGCTCTTCCCTGGATGACTGAGAAACACGAGACTGTTTTCTGTCTAACTGTGATGAAAATGCTCTCAGGACTTGACTCTTAGAGCAGGTGTAATGGGGAGGGCCGGGCTCCTGCACCCGGTCCGGGTGAGCGTGTGCCGGAGCCCCTTGTACCGCCTTGGCCATTCTAGTGACCTTCCCACGGCACCGCGCCTTACCCGCACGTGTCAACTGTCTCCCCTTCGGCTCTCAGGTAGATGAAAGCTGCATCTGCCCATGATGGCAGGGCAGTCATCCATCTGAGGGTGTGTTTCTTCAGGACTTTCTCAGCTGACATAGAATGTCAACCCTGACTCAGACCAGCTTGTCTGCCGAGGACAGAGGGATCCTAGCCGCAGCTGTGCTTATGCTGAGTGAAAGATCAGGTCCAGGGTGAAGATCCCAGAGGGTCCTTCCTAAACACGGACTGCATTTATCAGTCCCAGGCTTTAACATCCAACACAGAACAAGGCCAGCATGTACATGGCAGCCTGTATGGGTTGAGTTTTTGTTGTGACACTAGCCAAACATCAAGGGTCTCACTCAATCCTTAGTCTAACTGTAGAAGATCATGGGAGAGAGGGAGCCTGTGTTCTTAGCCTCCTGCATACTTATCAGGGTTTAATTTCAAGAAAAGTAAACCTGCACTAAAATCCCCAAAGTGATGAGTAAATGTAGCCTTCAGAGCTCAGCCTGAGGCAGAATCTAAATCATACTATTCTCAAGATCATGTATAAAAAGAAAAAAAAATGATGTGTGACCAGTTATAATTTTTTCGAAGACTGTGTCACAAAGCTGTCTGTCTATATTAGACGTTTCAGAGGGACCAGGGAATTTAAGACACCATGTCATCTCTTCAGTGTGCTTAACATCACTTTGTTATTTGTTGTTACTTTCTTACCCTTGTGTGTCTGCACTGAGGAACGTGGGTTCTGGGCCCCTTTTTGTGCTTGTGAGGCTGACACAGGTGTCGCTCGCCCACCGTAGCAGGTCTGCCCTCTGAACACAGTGCTGCCAGGTGACGGGTCAGCAGGGATGCCCGCCTGTGTTGTGGGAGTTGCCTTCTTAAAAGGTACAGTCTTGTCTTATTTAATAGAAAAGAGAAAAGAAAGAGAGCGTAAAAATCTACTGACCCGTTGTCAGCTTTTGAAAAGGGTCACAAGAGACTGGTGGGGAAGACTGATTTGCAGCCACATTTTCTGCTGTCGGAGTGAGGCAGCTGCTCTCCTATGTCAGCTGAAAGTGGTTTAGGGTGGGGACGGGGGCAGAGACACCTTTAGGTTTACTCTTAAAAATCACCATATGAAGCATGCGCTGTGTATTGGAAGTGCTCTGGTTTAATCCACACACTTTAAGATGGTACATAATCCCACAGGCTTCGATGTACATAAAAATAGAGTTTGGAATTCTTGGCTCTACTGTTTACATTGCAGATCGCTATAATTTCAAGGAGTGATATTATAAATAAAATGATGCACTTTAGGACATTTTCTATTTTTGAAATCTGAACATGAATCATTCACATGACCAAAAATTATGTTTTCTAAGTGAAATACGTGTCTAGCCTGTCCTTTTAAAGTAGGTGTTCTCTTAAATAAGCTATCAAAATCAAATCATTATCAGTTCACTTTTAAAGCACATCTGTTTAAAAGTATTGTTTTGAGAAAAGACGCTACAGAATTTTTTTAAGCTACATATAAATGAGAAGATACTAAAAATGTTCTGAAATCTGTTGTTTCTGCCAGAGGTGAACTCACCAAAAGATTTATTCAGGAATTCCAAAATTTGTGTGATTCAATAAAAGAAAACATCAAGTTATAGTAAAATAAGTGGTGTATGGGATGTCTGTGTTTTCCTCCGTACATTCTACTCAGTTATATTCTTCATGGAACACTGCCCATGCAGGGGAAGTCTGTCTACACTAGCTCCTGTTTGAAAGTGTGGTTAGTCAGTGGCTTCCAGCTCTGCCAAGGCAAATTTGTTTCCCCGGCAACCATCTCTGCAGCCCAGCAGCTCAGGGCACTAGAGGCAGTGTCTTAATTGGCTTCACACAGACAGAATGCTCTAGACTGGGGCTCTTCCTTGCTCTCTTGGGAATGTGTATGTGTTGACTAGCACATGCCAACAAAATAAATGTCAAGAGGTATTTAATAACGATAAGTAGAGGTAAAGCCTAAGTAAACCTGATTGTGAGATAAGAATTAGAGACGGCAAAGGCTTGCGATTTTCACAAGCACTTGCTATTATTGTGTTCTGTCTGGAGTAAACCTTGAAATAGATGTTTCTGTTAAGTGTGATATCACCATGTTTCATCTTTGAATCATTTAGTCTGGATTTTATTTTCCAAGACATGGAGGTGCGGGGTTTAGAATGTTTAGGGTAAGGACCTGCTTAGAAGTTTTTCAAGACAGTAGAAGTGTGTCCTGTCCTGGTAGGGGGAAAAAAAAAAAACTGGCACAATCTTGGTGATCTCCCAACTCAGGGAAAATTTCCATGAAAGACCCAATCAAATTTCAAACTGGAGTACTGATTTTTTAAATTGCCAGCTAGAATGCATCATGTGCTATGGGGAAGATTCTTTTCCTATGGCAGCCAGTTTGAAGTCTAAAAATGATTCTTTGTTGCCAGGGCAGGGATCGGTGAGATCTCTGTAACATCAGTGTAATTTTTTCTTGTCTCATCCTGATGCAATGCTTGGGTGGTAGGGATGAGCCTCCTGCAAGTGTGGTTGCTCCCAGGCATGACACTTCCAGCCCAGAACAAATGCCTCAGGGCTGTGTTTGTATCATAACTACTGCACTAGGATGTCCTGAGGCCAGCAGTCATGGGACCCCCCCCAGAGGGTTGAGCTTTTGTGGGTGTGGTTGAACTTGAAATTCCTTGTAAGATGGATATTTAGGTTTATTATCAGAATAAAGGCGTGGCCATTATGTTGATTAAGTTGGTTCTGTCTGGGGTTGCCTGCTTCTTGGGAGACAGAATTGGGCCTGGTATCCAGAACTGATCACAGATTTACATTGAAAACTCACATCTTAAAGTCTGATTAGATTTTTTTAGAGATTTAAAATCTGCTGAAGATGCCATTTTCTTACAGGTCTTAGTGCTGTTGATGGTGCATTGATAGTTGAACACTGCATTGTAAAGCTGGTTATAGGCTCCATTCAACTTTGTTTCCAAATGAGCTCTTAACATCCTGCGGATGGTTTTTCCCCCGGTGGGGAGGTGGTTTCTGCACCAAGGTTAGCACCTCTATGATGCTCTTTTGCGGTATCCACTCAGTTAAATCAATAAGGGGAACTAACCATACTGAAATGTTGAGGCAGTGTTTCCTTATTTAAAGCTCACATGTTTGGGAGAAACAGAAAGTGCTTTCCTTTCCTTCAATAATTCCGTTTTCCTGTTTTTCCCACTTGACCCTCAAAATGCACTTAAAAGTAGGCTGGCTAAACATGCTTGCACATTTTTGTTTCTTCAAATTGTACACACGGGCACCACTTCAAAGGGTAGCCAGCACCACACACTTCACACCAGAGTCACATGGATGTCGGGCACTGCATGGTGGCATGGCCACTCTCCCACACAGAGCCTGTGCCCCGTGGGCACCTGTGTTTCTCCACCCTGAACCTAATGACAGATGGATGGATCTAGGCTGAGATCAGAATGTCAGATGTACACAGACACATGTGAGACGAACGTCTGTGGACACATGCCACTTCATACTGCTGTGGAATTATGGCTTTGTCTCTAGAAAGCCATTCCTGGAACCTGGCCAGTTGTGGCCACATGTGTGGCTTGAGAAACAGGCTCAGCAGATCTAACTCTCCATCTGAAAACACCTATATAGTCATGAAAAGCTCCAGAAATCGGTAAAGTTTTAGTACATAATGTGGGCCCAGAGCAATGTTTGTGTGACATGTAAGCAGAAAGCGTTTGAAATTACCATTGTTCTTTTAAAAAATGTAAATGGAATGAAAAACATTATGTACGTTTTTGTACATGACTATTTTATATAAGTTCAAAATAAAATATTTTCAACCGTGTCAGTTCTGAAATGTTTGACGGTGTCACCGGATCGGATGACTGAACCTGCGGCGTCTGTCCTTTCCCCTCTCCAAGGAATCCAGTGATTGCCTTGAGCAGTCCCCCACAAGCCTCCTGGGATTAATTTTGTTGTTCTGTCTCCAGGCAGGGCACTGGCAGGTGGTCACGCCGATTGAGTGTGCATGTTAGGCGTTAACTAGAAAAATGGGATTGTGCTCCATGCTGTGGCCTTTAAAACAATTCATAGGTGAGGCTGTAGGGGTGCACATAAGAAGGTATTCAAGCAAGTCTCCTAAAATGAAGTATATTTGCAAAGGACAAGGCCATCATAGGTCAATCCATTAGCCATTTACTCTTCTGGAAGTAATATGGCCACTGGAAAACAAAGACATTAGAGAAAAGGCACATTTCAGTTGTGTGGAGTGAGCGTCTGGCACTCTGTGTCGCCAGGCGCATCGCCACTCAGGACCTGAATTCCTGGAGAGTTGGCAGGAATTCCACACCTTACCTAACAGCTGGGGACACGCTGCCTCCGTGGTGGGTGGGCATGCAGGTGTCCTTTAAGCTGTGTGTTGTAGATACTGTAAGTGACAAAAGTAAGCATTAAATACACTAAACCTGCAATTTTAAAAAGTTATGGCTTGGAATAAGCACTTTGTCCAAGTCCTAAAACCAGGATTCAAACTCTGCTTCAGACGACAAAGATGCAGTACTACTAATATGGACACGAGTAATGCCGATCTGCCAAAATTGAAGCCACCCTGAATAATTTTTCAACACTGGGTTCAAAGTATTAAAATTGGGGCAGAAGTGGCAAGCGGCATTTAGTGAGGCTTCATTGTCTTCGATATTTTGATGCTGCCCCTTTGCAGGGACCAGAACACTATACAAGCCCAGGTCCACACAGTCTGTGACAAAGCCCACCTACCCTCCGAGTCCACCCCCTTCGCAGTGTTTCCACTCCTAGTTCTGGAATGGTTTGCACAACTGTGGGCTACCTGGAAAGGCCAGAACAGGACCCACATATGGGGTGGGGCGGGCTGAGGAGAAGAGGCAGCCCCCTCTCCATGGGCTCATTACCTCTTCTCGAAATGGATTCTGAATCTCAAGACAAAGTGTCTGAGAGTTCACCCTGAGCAAGGCCAGCTTGGCACGGCTCCCTGTACCCAGAATTTCATGTTCAGTAGATGTCACAGTCCCCAAGTGCAGTTGTGGCATCCTGGCAGGCAGGCAAGGCAAATAGGGCTGGGCAGGAACTGGAACTGCTGACAGCTTGGGTCACTTTTTTCCTCCAGCGACAAGCATTGTACCAAGGGTGGCCCGCACCGTCCTGCAGGCCCTGGGGACATGGCCATGATGCAAAACCCAACAAGAACCAAGTTCTGGGATTGCAAAGACCCCCAGGTCTCAGTTGGTCAATATGTGGATAAAGCAGATATACTATGAATTCTGAAATTCATCATTTTTTAGATGTTTGGAGTTTTCTTGATTTCTCTAATGCAGTTCAAAGCCACGCAACAATCCTCGAGTCAGGCTTCCAGTGCCGCAGCCATTAATACTTCTTGGTGAGACATTTTTGAGACATTGTGACCTTCTAAAACTAACTTCTAGAGAACATAAAATGACCAGACAAAATTAGACAACGAGAGGGAAGGGACCGTATGAAGGACATAGCCCTCATCGTGGCAGAGGGCAGTGCTTCTCAGATTTCAACACACCTGCAACTGTCAGGGGAGCATGTAGCCCTTGGCTCCCAGGGCCCTGGCGCCCTGCATTCATGACAGGTGCGGGTGCAGCCATGCTGCTGGCCTGGGGCCTCCCTTTAAGTGGATGCTGTAGTCTGCAATCTGGGGATTTGTGGAAATGGGAGCAGCTCCAGCTATTAATCCCAAATCCTGAGTTAACAGCAACAGCCAGTTTGACCACACCTGAGGAGGCCATGTGCCTCCTGATACTTGAGGACCACGCTGCAGACAGGCGTAGCTGCATGATCTGGGTCCCTGCCTCACCCCGAAGTCTTGGTTTTGTCATCTAAAAAGTGGTACCTGCCTTACCAGGTTATGAGGGAAATGTGCTTGGATGACCAGAACAGGATCACGTGGTAAGTCCTCAGCAGATGGGAGACAGGGTTGCTATTAGCTGCTTGGAAGCAAAGATCCTTCTTGCCTTGAGGTTCAGTGACACATTCTGAATCCCTGCAGAAAGGGAACTGTGTTTCCCGGTGGCATTTGCTCAACCATCATCCTCTGACTCCTTGTTTGTGTAAGCTGGAAACCGAATACACCTCTCGCACTTGAATTACAAGTTAGTGCCAACAGGATGAGCAAAATGTTATGGGAAGATAATCTCACTCTCCTGGGGAAATGGTAAGATAAGTCGTAATGACTGCTATTCTCCAGCCAATCACATCCAACCCACAGGCCGCTTTCTTGGAAGGATGAAACTTGCTAAATTCCCTCCCTCCCAGAGTAGGACAGACCCGAGTCTACTTTCCCTCAAAACATTTGGGAGATCCAAGAGAAAGTCATGTACAGGGGAGAAGCAGAATGACCATGGAACTAATTTCTAGGTCATTGAGGTGTCCTGGAATTTCTGTCTTGGTGTATTTTTAACAATTAAAAACTAAATGCACCCTTGGGAGGGATGTTGCTCTGATTTCGACAAGCTTCTAATCAATATCCTAAATGTCATCAGAACCTGTGTCCAAGACTGAGACCGGGAGAGGACCTCGGGTCCCCATTACCTTGTCATCCCAGACAGGGGACAAACTGAAGGTGCCATTGCTCTGCTCAGCAACAGGGCAAGCCTTCCGATGCCCATGACTTCAGTCTCATGGAATGAGGCTTTGCCCCTCATGACCTCACACATTTGGAAACTCCAGGTCTTCTCTCCAGACTGCCTGCCAGTGACTTGAACTTGAGAGGCCTTGAACCTTATTCACACACATCTGAGCTCCTAGCGCACCCGGGCACGAAAGGTCAAGAGACCCATTTTTACCACCACCCAGAAGCTGCAGCGGGCCAGCCCTGCAGGGACCACGAGTCAGTACCTACCTGGCACTCACTGTCAACCTTTGTCCTCAAGCACGCCGGCCTCTTAGGACCCAGTGGGGAACATTGTTTCAGAATTCCAGAATCTGCTCTTTTGCTTTCTTTTCCTCTTAATCCTGAAGACAAGGTGACCATGAAGGACTAATCTGGTTTAGTATTTGGCTCCATCTAAGCAGGGGGAGTGTGTGTGTGTATTTTAATTCTTCTTTAAGTTTCTCAGGAAGTTCAGCACCAGTGGGAGCTGAGTAAATAATGATCACAGATTGTATCCAATGCACATGGGATTAGGCCCAGGAAAATCAGCTTTTAGAAGATCTGAAGACCATGTGATTGTGCATCCTGCCAAGCCTCCAGCCACTCTGGGGGCAAAAAGAAAAAAGAAAGCTGACATCTGAACTAATTGTATTGGTGCTACACATAACTAGGAGTACACATGCCACCATTTTGGAAGGAAATAAAGCATCCCAGCCTGGATTGGCTGATCCCCAGGAGAGGCTGTCATTAATACAGATCCAAAGAGTCTGCCATGTTGGGCTGGATACTGCCTCCAGCACCCATTCTGCCACATATCCTGTTACCTCACTGGACAGGTAAAAGGTGTTACAGATGTTACCCCAGATCCAGCCTGACTCTGACAAGCAGCCTCTGCCTGTGTCCGAGTGGTCTGTGGTAGCATCCCGAGCAGAGAATGGTAGTCAGAGACCAGTATTTGCCACTCCCTTGCAGGGCTTTGCCCTCCTGGGGTCTGTTCATCACTCTTTACCAGAAGCCCTGATAGGAAGGACGTGGTGGGAGGATCTGTGTCACTTCCCCTGGAGAACTCTTAGTCCAGTCACAGAGGGGTCTTCACCTTTTTGGAGGACACAGGTCCTTGCTATCTTCAGCCTCTTCCTTATCACAAGCTCTTACTCTGCTCCATGAGATTCTATTCCCCAAAAGAAGGCTGTGAGGGAGCTCACCAATGGCCCCTGTCAATACTCCACAAAAGCACCTCAAAAATACAGACATTCTCGAGTCAGAATACTCATAACTCAAGCAAACTCTGATACTGACACAGTTAAGTTCAAGGTGACAGAGGCATCACACTCTTCAACATTTTAAACTAGGCTTCCTAAATGGTTTAAGATTTGCTTGACTCCATTTTAAGAGCCAAAGAAAATGTAAGACAACCAGCACTTCCATTTCTTGTTAAAAGAAAATGAAATTCTGGTGGCTCATGCCTATAATCTTAGTACTTTGGGAGGCCAAGGTAAGAGGATTGTCTGAGTCCATGGGTTCGAGACCAGCTTGGGCAACTTGACAAGCCCAATAAATCAAAAACTTAGACAGGTGTGGTGACACGTGCCTGTAGTTCCAGCTACTTGGAAGGTTGATGTGGAAGGATCACCTGAGGCAAGCAGGTTGAGGTTGCGGTGGTCATGAGCATGCCACTGTACTCCAGCCTGGGCGACAGAGTGAGAGGCCAACTCAAAAAAAGACAAAAGAAAAAAAAAAGAAAATGAGGAAATTCTGAAGGCCAGTTTTAATTGTGTTTAAAGGATGTGCTTTTTCTCTTGTGCTTGACCCTAATAGGAAATACTCTGTGCATTGGGTTTCGCCTCAAGTCTATTTTGCTTTGCTAGTGTGTGTCCTCCCTTCACATTCATGCTTGCCATCTAATTAACTACTATTTAACTATTAATTCCAAACTATGGTTTTAGGCAAAATGAACAGATATTCAACTGTTCCCCAAAAAACTTACCAAAAGATAGGAGATTCGGTGGAAAACTAAATTTGGGAAACACTATGTACTCTGTTCCCCTCTCAGAGATTCACAAAGTTATCTAAGAAATCTTGAGCCAGGCACGGTGGCCAGGAGTTCAACACCAGCCTGGGAAACATAGAGAGATCCCCATCTCTAAAAAATGTTTTTAAAATAGCTGGGCATTGTGGCACATGGCCATAATCCC